TCTAATCTAGAGAATCCTTCACAGGCATGCCCAGATGGCTTGTTTCCTAGATGACTCTAGATCCTGTTGAATTGGCAATATTAGTCATCACCCCTGTGTAACTAGCTCATGAATTAAGAACAGAAATTACAGCATTTTAGGAGCATCCTTATGTCTCTTCCCAGTCACCATCAGAGCGAAGTAGCTTCTACCACTATATGTTACTTTTACTTTGTAGTTAGGCACAGGGTCTTACTATGTAGCCCTGGCTGGGCTGGAATGTACTATGTAGACAAAGCTGGCCTCACACCCACATAGACCCATCTATCTCTGCCTCTCAAGTGCATACTGGGATTAAAGCTGTGCACCACCATGCCCAGCTTGCGTTTTGTTGTTGTTGTTTTTAGCCTTATATAAATGCAATTACACACACTATATACATTCTTTTCTGACATCCGGCATTTTTTACTCAACATTAAACCTAATCCTCATGTGTACCCCACAGATGGACTTTGTGGGGAGACCTCTTTATTTGTTCCATTTTCCAGTGTGACCACATTAAATAAATCTCTTCATATTACTTGTCTCTTTCATTGGAATGCTGAGAATGGGTAGCTGAGCCTAGTTTGTCAGGGCAGCCAGGGTCTAGGCTCTGATCCTAAAATCAGTCTCCAGTAACTACCACTGAGCTACATTCATAGCCCCCAATTTTTGTTTCTTAATGCTTCATTCTAGATAATCTCTTCTGACATAGCTTTCTTTTTCAATTATTCCCTATTTTCTATATCTAATCTGATATTATATTTATCTTGAGTTCTTAATTTGATTACTGTATTTCTCAGTCATACAATTTCTATTTAGGTGTGTTTTTTTTTGTTTGTTTGTTTGTTTGTTTTTGTCTTTTTGAGTCAGGGTTTCCCTGTAGCCCCAGCTGGCCTGGAACTCACTGTGTAAACCAGGCTGGCTTTGGACTTTGGAACTCAGAGATCCACCTGCCTCTGCCTCCGGAGTGCTGGGATCAAAGGCATGCACCACCATATCTGGCTATTATTTGTTTCTTGAGATGGAATCTAATGTTTCCCAGACATTGGACTTGAACTTTCTATATAGCTGAGGCTAGTCATGTACTCCTGATCTTCCTGCCTCTATCTACCGAGTGCTAGGATTACGGTGTGTATCACCAGGTCTAACTTTGGTTCTGTCTTTGTATTCCTATTGCTTTCTGCTGTCTGCCCTCCTCATGAAGATGCTGATGTATGTCTGGGCATACACCT